GGTTCCTTTGCTCTGTATGCAGCAGAGAAGCCAAGCAGGAGAGATGGTGAAACAGGCCCAGGAGGTCGGAGATCAGGTGAGCAGTCTGGAACACTGGGAGAGTGTGGAGGAGGACAGGTGGTCCAACGGGCTGGAAGAGAAGGAAAGGGCCGGCGATGGCGCCTCTGAGCTCGGGCAGGAGGGGCTGGCTGAGAGGGTCAGGGAACCACTGTGTGAAGAGAGGGATGGCTGAGCCTGAAAGAGGGAGTGGACATGAAAAATGCAGGGACTTTGCCCCGTAAAGTGGACCAAGGGCATGACGAAGCCCATGCAGGAGGCAGAGCACTGAGCAGGTAAGGCAAGCAAGGAACACGGGAGAGGCGGATGAGGCCAGAGGAGGATGGGGTGTAGAGGTCGAGACCAAAAAACTGGAGACAACCCTCTCTGGCGTGGCATGGAGAAATCATGAGACATCAAAGAGGCCATAGAAGCACTGGTCTCATAATTGTGAACCAGAAAATTATGACACCAGTTGGATTCAGTACAGCCTGTTGGGGACAAAGAAGTGTCAGTGGATGGAGCGCAGGTCAAGACGGGAGCAGATGTCAAGGAAAACAACAGTGAGTGTCGCATGCTAGCAGGTGGCAGGGGAAGTAGGACAGTGTGTTGCAGAAGAAGCAGAGAGTCTCTTGAAGACAAGAATGGAAGAAAAGGCAGAGGATGGGCTGAGCTTGGTTTACTCTGCGTCCAGCATGGAAAGGAGAGACAGGAATCTTGGGCATCACGAGAAGGTGGCTGACGGGATGTGAGTTGTGTCATGGGACAACAAAGGGACAGGTAAGGAGAGGAGGGACCTTTTGATTGTGAGGGGGGCTCAGGTGGGTAACGGGGCATCACAGAGAAGGGCACAGTGGCGTGAAAGGCCTACAACTTGGGGGAGTGGCAGGTCTGAGGAGCGACAGGGGCTGCATGTAGGGTTCTACAGCCAGACAGCCGGAGCATACTAGGGAATATAAGAAAGTGTAGGCGATGTGAGTCGTACCTGTGGGCAAGCACTGTTTTATGGGAAAATAGACAATGTAGAATATTCATAGAGGGAGCCACGATAGGATATCCAAGTAAAAACTAAGGGCAATGTAGTGCTATCAATTGGATTTTGAAAGAATGGTATTTAGCCCTGATACAGCATGCATCCTACAGATGGTGACACAGTATTTACTGGTGCATGTTTTTCCAATGAAAAGGAGCCGAACAAAAATGGAAAGAAGTGGTTAAAATGAAGTTGGGATTGAGTCGCCAGTATACATATTAAATCATTCTCCAAATTACTGGGAAACATTATAGTGGTTATCATACTTGGTGTTGCCTACTAAACTTGATCACCATTAATGGATCACAGTGGAGGGGGCATGGGCTACATTTCCTAAAGGATACATTGGAATTATATAAAAAGAAATTGTCGTAGAGAAATTGGCAGCTGCCTGAAAAGTCTACCAGAAAGTCTCATCAAAGTGGGCAGATTTAGGAGAACGAACAGTCAGAGAGAGAGCAATTCCTGCAGTGAAATCAGAAGGGAGGGACAGCAGCAGCAACAATCCTTATCACGGTTAGGACTTCCAGAAGCAGAGCTGAAAGTGTGTGCAGTGGGCTGGCACTGTTCTGAGAGACAAGAGTAGGCAAAGGAGGAATTTCACACGTGTTCACATGCGGAATCAATTTAAAGGCCAGACAGACTGTGAACCACAAGCCTGGGCGGTGCAAACAAGCAGAGGTGTTTTCTAAGGCCAAGAGAGGGAAGAAGATGTGAATGGATACGCCATGCTTGTGTTGCGCTCTAGGGAGAGGTTATCATTTAAGAAAAGCAGCAATAAAGATTATGGATGACGATGATGATGGTGTGAAGAGGGAACATGAAATAGGACAGGAAGACAGGTTGGAAGTACAGAGGGAATGTCAGAAATTTCAGTGTGTTTGATGAAAGGCAGGCTGGTTACAAGATGAATGAACAGGTGAACAAAGAGAGCTCAAGCTGGGAATCTGGCCAATCTCAGAATGGGTCAAATTGGAGGAATACTGATTTTGAGGCTAGACTGATACAGGAGAATTTGAGATCTTGATCCCTGGCATATGTCTTCAGTTTGGCTCAAATAAATTCTTATAAAAATTCTCAAAAAAAAAACCCCAAAAACAAAACTGGCTAGACTGATACAAATTCTAGTGATAAAGGCAGAGGAAATGGTGGTTGACCAGTAATGTTCTACCTATCCTGCCTTTTTAGCATTTGAATAAAAATTCAAATGATGTGCTTCTCTTGAAAGAATGCAAAGTTTTATCAAGGGTCATTAATATCAGTGGATGCATGTGAGTCAAAGTGAAAACCTCTGAGATAAATTTTACTTAATTGAAGCTGTAGATTCAATACAGAATGTCAGGAGTTAATATGGTTAGTATTGAACAACAAATAATGGAGTTGAGACTAGAGATTCAGAGAAGAGTCCAGAGTCCATCAGAATCCTGTGGTAGCTCAAGTTAAGATGGAGGTTTGAGGAAGTGTAGGCAGAAAGTCAAGAGCTGAAATATATATGAAAGAGTTATGAATTGTTAATACAGGAGGAAGCATCCCTAATGCAAAACAGAAGGCTCATATACATGGACTGCTAAACTTGATCTTGGTAAGGATGTTTTCTATTAAGACTTTTTAAATGAGTTAAATTTGCTGAAATGGTTTGAAATGAGAAATAGGATGTGACAAGGCCTGATAGTGCAATAATAAAAGTAATTTCGGGATTAGGATGGTTCTGAGATGGTAACGGAACAAAAAGTTATTATTTTAAAGTAGGGGCATTACAGAGGTCCAAAGTGGGGGGAAATTTGCAGACTGTTGTGCCTACATGTTGTTCCTGGTGCAGAAGTATTCAGAGGAAGGAAAGTTGCTGAATGAGAAAAGATACTAAGACAGAAGGCTGCCTTGAAGGGTTTTCTAACAATTTTTAAGTAAAAGAGTAATTGTTGGAGGCCAGAAGATACTAAGAGGCTTGACTGAATGGAGACTTACTCGTTCTACAAATTGCCCATAATTTAAGAGAAGGAGATATGGTAATATCTTGATGTTGGGTTAAAGTAAGTTTTTTCAGATGGTGTCGATTTTCTGTACACTTACAAAGTAAGGGGGAGTGGGAAAGTTTAAAGATACAGCAAAAATAACAACTTTCTGGAGATTAGAGGGTGTGTGTCTTTTGAACAGTGGGAGACTTGATTTTGAAAGAGGAAACTGGAAGAAAGTGGATAGTTTCAGAATTGAAACAATTTTAATAGCTTCTATTTATTGAGTATTTACTATATGTCTGGCACCACGCTAATCACCTTACTTATTTAATTTCAATTTATCTTTACAATAATTCTGAAAGGCTTATAGAGGTCAAATAATTTATCCAAAATTCACAGTATGTAGCAGTCCGAATTCTAATCCAAATTTGTTTATCTCCAAAACCTCTATTCCTTTCTATTATGCTATACAATTTTCAAGTTGAAGGAAATCACAATCTATATAATTTTTGTTTCTGTGATTATAAGGAAAATATATTTTCTGAGATGAGACAAAGTAAAGGTAATGTATAGATCTTCAGGAAATTGGTAAAATTTGGAATATTTGCAATGGGAAAATGCAAAAAAGGAATGGGTAAAAAACATTTTTATTACCATCTATGCCCTTGGTATTTCACTTCTATTTATTGCAAAGCAAAGATTTTGGATTGGCTATGGATTAAAAACTAGACTTTTCTGACAAAGACAAAAGAATAGAAAGGAGTTTGTTTTTTAAGCAGGTACATGATGGGTCAAATATAAATCAACTACTAACAAAATCTTAAAAGTCCAAGTGTTGAGACAAAATTCCATTTCTTTTCTCCAAGATGCAATGACAGGAGTTTATAACTGACTTTTAGCACCAATCAGCAAATCCTTTGAGTTTAACAGAAAAGAAAGAAAATTCTCCAAATGCCAAATTTTTATAAATAAAATACTAACAAACCATCAAACAAAAGAGTCCATAGCCAGCAGACCAAAGGCTGAAACCTCTGGGCTAATCTGTAAGATCTATGTTTCAAAAAGAAATTAACCCCTTAGTAAGAGGGGTGCGAAAATCTCTCCTATACTTCCTCTCTTAGTAGGAATGTTTTCTGTTGTTGTTTCCCCCTTTCGCTGTATGTAATTTCTGTAATTTCAATATTGTTGTGTTATGTATGTTGATATTGTGAAACTGTTATTTGTTGTATTCTGTTAAGACCACTCCCTGGGGTGTGAGGCACCTGAGTTATCAGTTATCCAAGAGATCCTGGGGGAATGGGAGGAGCTGGATTCTTTAATAGGCTCGGCATTTCGTTTCTCTCTAGAGTGGCGAAGTAGCACCCCTTAAAAACGGGACTTGGAGAGAAGTACCGCAGATGGAGGAGTTAGGAAACACAGAGAGGAGGCCACTTGAAAAACTTCATAAAATGCAGTTTCCTAGGATAATGGCGGAAGCCATAGGGCTACAGTAGGACTGGGCTCAGATACTGGTTTGGAACAAGAATAAATAAAACTATCTTTACTTAAGAGTCCAGCCAGCTTAATTACTGGCTGGTGGACATACTTTAGACACATATAATCAGAGGGAAACAGACCAGAGCGAAAGTGAAGCTAAAAGAAAATGAAACTAGGGAAGCCTCATAGAGGGATAGAGGAGGTAATGAAAGGTGAAATTCAGAGGGCCTAATGCTCGCAGGACAGATACTGGAGGCCAGACAGGAAAGTGCCTTCCTACCCAGGGGGTTATGGATCCAGGGGGCTGCAGGTTAAGAGTGCAGGTCCGCCCAGGGGCCAGAGGGAACAACCTGGGATTCAGACCCAGCAATGGTGCCAACGTGAATCTACCTCGTGCTAGAGTGAGTAGCCTGGTCTGTAACCCAACAGAGAAGAGATTGGGCAGGGCTCCCAGAACCAACATCTACAAAGGGAGTTCGGAGAGGGGCTAAAAGAAGGCAGGTTAAGCCCCACATGTAAGTGAATGATGACCAGGGATAACAATTTACTAGTACTTCTATGATTTCTTGTAACTTTGTACCTTCCCCAATATTTGTTAATTTTGTTAACTTTTATCTGATTTTTTTCCTGTGCTAGTTAGTAAAAATTGTTTTTTCCTGTACTAGTAGTAAAAATTGTTTTTTCCTGTACTAGTAATAAAAGTTGTTCAAAGCATAAATGTGATATGTGTGCTTATTTCTGTGAAAACCAGGTACCCGTTGTGAATATTCTGCAATGACTATGAAGAAAGAACTCAGGGTGGGAAAAGGGGGAAAAGAAATCAAGCACAACAAATACTTGACATTCACAAGAGATAGGTCAGCAGACCTCAAATTCCCAAATTTGTAAATACTACTATTGACACTAGCAGTTGGTTCTCCTTTAAAGCGCACCGCACCCCCAGACTGCATATGGGTCAAGTAGAGAATTACAAAGCCTTTCTCAAATGCAAATACACAAACTTTGGTTAAGACACTCATTTGAAGTTGAGCCGTACTCTCAGATGCCAACTTTATGCTATAGGACCCTCAAAAACGATATACAGTAATATCTTGGTTTGCGAGCATAATTCGTTCTGGGAACAAACTACTCATATTGCTAGACATCACTTGTTTACCAATCTAAAATGTATTAGAAATGTTTGCTTATCCTTGCGGAACACTCGCAAACCAAGTCACTTGCAATTCAAGGTTTTCCTGTATTTTAAAATGCCATGTACCTACTAAATAAAAAGCCCTTAGGATGCCCTGGAAAGAAACACCGGGGAGCAGCAGGCCGTGCTCCTTCAAGGAGACATCATGTCTATGAACCCTTGTTAGTGGTGACACCAGTCCCCCACAAGGCCTGAGGGCCTCTCTGGACTCCCTCTGTATACATTCAGTTTCTCATTTAAGATTAAATGTCCAGCAAATTTTACTCAGACTTCATTATAAATAATATCCTGCAGCAGTAAATATACCATTTTTATCATTACATTTAATTCAGGAAAAGAAGCATATTCTTGAACCCTGGACATGTGTCCACACATTTAAGAGCCCAAGTCATGCACACGTAAGTATATAAGTATCTCTTCCCTCTGGTGGGTAAATACCTGCTGAAGAGTCATCATCAGGCAAACGAACGAGAGTGTAACATATTCCTGGCTGATTGTAAGTGAGGCTGGGGGCTGGGATACAGCACAGCACTTCAAAGCCATCTGACGGGTCCACCTGAACTGTCACTTTCTCCAGGAGCTGGTCGTTGAGCGTATTGGTACAGTCAAACTGAAAAGTCAGCAAATAGGGAAAAGTTACGAAGGCTGAGAACTGTTTGCAAGCAAGTTGTTCCTTCCCACCCATAACCCACTACTCAGCTCTGGAACCCACTAGACCTTCCCTAACAGCACTGCTCCTAAGAGTTTTCTCTAGGCAGCGAGGATAGCCTTATTCTTGAGGTTTGGGGGTTTATATGATTTGTTTTTTTCTCTTTCTTGAGATTTAGTTCTACCAAACAAGATGGCAGATATCTGACAGCTTCTAAGAATCAAACTGAAATCCAAGTTCTAGGAACAACCCACTTAATTTACCCTGAAGTTAAATGATGATTATTTTTTAATAGGTTACACTTTATATTGTCCAACTTCTTCAGGCATCTTGTTTTTATGTCCTTTTCATTTTTAACCCATCATATGAAGGCGTCTCTGTAGGTATGGAGTTAGGAAAGAAAACCAGAAATGCTGCCTAGTTCACTATAAAAGGAACTACTGGGCTGTCGGAAAAGTCATGACGTATTTTTTCCGTTTTTCATCGCAAAAATGCGTCATGACTTTTCCGACAACCAAAAGAATCACAAACTAAAGGGGACTTAATACTTATCTCCAAGCATCCTAAGCCTTACAGGAGCCAGTTAGGGCACTTATCTCACCTGGAACACAATGTGATGGGTGAACATGTGCTTAATGCAACGCACAAAATACTCTGTCTCTGCTTCTGTAAGTTGAACAGGCTCAGAAGACTTGAACAAGGGTCCTAGATTCGTAAACTCAGGAATTGCGGCCAATTGTTCTGTCAAGAAAAAAGGAAAGAAGGAAGACAGTAAAATAAGAAGACAGGGAAAGGCATTATTCTGGATGCCTAAAATGTTTTATGTTTCCATAGCTTAATAGTTGAACACTCTTATATATCCCCAAGTTTTAGTAAAACAATCTTTTAAGAGAGCTTATATACTCAATTACTAAAAGCAAATAAATAAATAAATAATATTCCTAATATTCCTATATCCCAAATTCCTATAATTTGAGTTCCCTGTTAACCAAGATACAGATTAAGAACATTCCCAGTTAGTGTGCTGGCGACTGGAAACTGGCAAGTCACAGGGACTCCAGGTGGCCCCTGGCAACTGTAATCTATGACAATAAATATTCAGCCACACAAAGACATCCTATACTGAGAATTCAGAAAATTGAATGAAAGTAGCAGACTTCATTATATTTACAATGCCTAGGGTGCAAGACTATTACTTCTACCCATGAAATCGTCATACCTTGGAAAATGTCTTGCCTGGAAGGAGCCAACTTCTCCGGCTTGGTAGCCACAAGTGTGATTTCTACAAAGACAGATATGAGCAATCAAGTGAGCTTCTCTCCCACTATCAAGCTGAAAACGCAGACAGAAAGACATGAGGGCAGAAACTTCTTGAAGACATGTCAAGAGCCATTGCAAAATAACACCAGTAGGCCTCTGTCACCCTTTTGGGAGGGACGCTCAAATTAAAATGTACTTAGTGAACATATTTTGTGAGATAGCAAAGTAAGCCCTAAAAATACAGAATTTGCTTTAAATGGACCAGGATATACAAAAGTACTCTTAAACGAAGGAACAATTTATAAAACAAATCTTCTCATGATTCAAATAGGAAACATGACTTGTATATAGTATCAACAGAAAAATGTTCAAAATTAAGATCATTCATTCTCAGTTCTGACCACTAAACATTTGTTCGTTTCTTTCTTTTTTTTTTTTTTGCATTTTAAAGTTAGACATTCCTTGGAAATATATTTTATGATCTTGTCCCATATATTCTTGAAAGACAAACTTCCAATAGCAAAATTAACTGAGAAATTACCAACTTCAGAGAATAAAAATAGGAGGTGACAGCACAATTACTGCCAGAGATACACAGAACAACTGACTTCAGATGCTGTAAAACGGAGCATTAAAAAAGAGAAAAGACTTTCAATCTAGGTCACGTTTCATATTCTTGCCTTTATGCAAAAACCAGGAATTAAAAAAAACCCAAAACCCTAATGAAAACAATCATTCACCTTAGTTCTAAAAGACTTACGTACAGAGTGACAATTAAACAAAAGATTAGGGAAAATATGCTAATACCATATTTTACTGGTGTAAAACTACTTCTACACAAAAAAACTAACAGTGAAGTGTTCCCATTACCTGCTTTTTGTTCGAAGACAGGAGCCATAGCAAGAGGAATAGATTTCATGTCAAAGGGTTTCTCCGAAGGCTCCAGTGTATATTGGTGTAAGGCTTTTTCCATCCCTGGTACAGAGACTGTCAAACCTATAAAACAGAGAAATCTCAGCATTGTAACTTCTTGCCAGTGCTAGGATCCAGATCAACCCAGATTTATAATATTTATTGAGCTTTCTGAAGGAGGAGGAAAAAATATAACCACAGACTTCATAGCCTAAATAATTAAAAGTAAAGGTTATTATATAAAACTGCCTTATCATTTCATCCAAGGAAACACAGGAGTGGAGCATAAACATTTTCAACAAAATATAAGAAGCTTCCAGAAAAGAATGTAACTTGGCCATGTGGGAGCAATGATAGCACATGTTAAGGGAGGCACGGTCAACCCATCCCAGAGGGGCTCAAGGAGGACCAGGAACAAGGAGGATGCTTCAGGCTTTTACATACTTTAGATTTCCCTAGAAATGGAAGTGCATTCGAAAGCATTTTGCCCAGTGATGTCAGTTCATATGCAAATAATGAGATAGGCTTCCAAGATACCATCCGGGGAACAAGAGTGTACTGTCTACACATCCTGGGCTCTCACTGACCATTGAAGATATACGTAGCATTCAGTGCCATCTGCCTTTGCTGCAGTACATTCAGGTAGAAGGTAGCTCTGTCCCGAACCTCATCATCAGTATCCATCATACACCTGCCCAGAGACACAGAATAGGCATGTCACAGCACCCAGAAGGTTCCCAATAGCTTAACCATCATGCCTAAAGGGCACCATTGGGCCATCTGATACCACCTTAGTTATAAAAGAGTTCAACAACAGACAACAGTAAAACCTCCATGCATCTTGGGTACTGCTCTGAATTGGTGAAGAAATAGTATCACTGTGAATCAGAAGCACTACATATGCCAGCATTAAGATCATTCATTAGGAAGAACAAATAACATGAGATAGCAGTTTGGAGTTTTCTCTTGGATCTGCGACACATGACCCTGATAAGGACCTCGACACTTCTTTATAATTAAGAAATGGGAATATCAGACTTTCTAAGGATACTAAAAAGCATTCAGAATCTAGGCTTTGTTACTACTCAAATGGCAATTTGTTTCATTTAAACCAGCCAGCTTTTGGCTTGTAATTTTTCTGCTTCAGTTACAAGATGTAATCACAGAGTGTTTGCTAACGCCAAGGCTCTTCCTCATCCAATAGGGAGGGAGACCATGAAAAGCTGGTATTTTCAACTCTACTTAGTGAATCACTTTGAAGTCGGCCCCTATTATACCAATTGAGGCACATGCATTTAAGTCACTTCCTGGAAATCATACGAAGGGAAATCCAAAGTACTTAGCACACAAAAAATTACTAGAAGAGAACAAAAATGCCGTTTGTCCCTCACTTACTCCACCAGCTCTGCCCTTAGGCCCTGCAATGTGTGAGATATGGTACAATGAGGAACTCTCCATCCAACCACATGGCACTTCTTTTAAAAAAAGACATTCTTTTACTTACCTTTGTAAGAGTACAAGGATGCTTGGGAGAAGGTTCTCATTCTGGGCCCCAAATTTAGCCAAAGCACTCACAGCAGCTATAATGAAGCATAAAATGAAGCAACATAAATATTGGTTTCTAGAGTTAAGTAATAATCATTCAACAAAAATTAGAGAAGCTCCCCCATGTTCAGTGGGAATAAACTCTCTTACTATTGG